TATCGAAAAGCTGCGTTGAAATGGAGTTCCATTCATTGGCAATTTGGTTCAATATGACGCCAACGTCAACAAAAAACTTCATTTCAATCTCTCTGTTAACTACTTATATAAATTGTACACACATTAGATGTTCGATCAAAAAATCAATTAAGACTATGTCTGGAGGTAATTAATTGACAGATTTTACTTGAAATCTCAACCGCTACACACACCTACAGCCGCAACATTTGACCAGAGGTGTGGGGGTCAGCAATTGAAAAAAAGGGTAAAAAATGTGCTATTAATTTGGATAAAATCAATGTCAGACACACCCTAAATATGGACTTTTAAATTATTACGTGTGATGTCTCTCCACCTACTTAGGGCTTGTTTGTGGAAGATTTTAATCCAATTAAAATTGAAAATATAACCGTTATTGGGTCTCATCCGTCTAATAAAAGTCAACAATAACGACTAGTTTTTCAATTTTAATCCGATTTTAATCCCTCCCAAACAAGCTCTTAATCTACTAGTGACATTTTAACAAGTTGACCCTTCAAAAACACATCTGAACAGATGAACAGATGCTGAAAAGCTACTTTCTTCTTCTAGAATCTACTGATAAAAACAAACATGTGCTTCTATTCAGAGTATAATATTGCTCAAGTTACGTGGTGCAATACAGTCTAACGTATAATTTTCATAATAGACCTGTAAGTGTTGATAAAGTTGATAGGTATGTGGATAAGTTTCGCTTTATACTGAACAATACCAAGTATTAAAAAAGTATTCTTGTAGTTCAAACCTGATCAACGAATTATTCAATACTGTTATTGTTCAAACCTGATCAACGAATTATTCAATACTGTTGAATTATTCATCCTGAAATATACTGGGAATAACATAGAATCTTCACCCTTACACTATAAAAAGGTTTAAAAAATATTTAATAATGAGAGTATAACAGAATTTACATTGGGAAAATGAGATTTAAATTGCATAAAATACAAAAATATGTTTACCAGATTATAAAATGATGCATATATATCATTCATCATGAGTCAAAATAGCTTCATTTGAAGTTGTTGACAAAAAGTGGTTCTACTGTTTACATAACTAATCAAAGTTCGAAGATTTTTACAATTTTGTTCAAAATTTACGTGGAAAAAAATTGAAAATGAATTCCATCATATACTACTTTGGGAAATATGAGGAAAATTATGGTTAAATCGAAGTTTACGCTTGCATCTTTTCGATTTTGCACTCCCCACTAAAGGACCTTTTAATGTATGAGCACCATATTGCATCATTAGTGGTAAAGACTTAACTTATCAGTTATATTCAAATGTTTTACCAACATAAAAAGAAATAATTAACTGTTCAGATTCTATAAAATACTATTGTTAACCATATATGGAGTACAATATAGTGGTGGCAATCGAGCCGAGCGGCTTGTCAGCTCGGCCGCTAGGCTCCTAGTGTAGCGGCTCACGAGCCGTTCGGGCTTTTGACGAGCCCGAGCACAAGCCGAGCCTGCTCGGCTCGTTTTTGACGAGCGGCTCATCCTTTTTTTTTTTTTTTTTTCATAAAGAATGATAGTTAAAAAAAAAAAATTCAAAAAAAGCGAGCCCGAGCCGAGTAGCTCGGCTCGGCTAGCTACAGTACGAGCTCGTGGGCCGAGCCGAGCTCGCCCAAGAGTAAACGAGCCGAGCACAAGCTCGGCTCGTTTTACAACGAGCCACGAGCTCGAGCTCGTGGGCAACAAGCCGAGCCGGCTCGACTCGGCTCGTTTGCCACCACTAATACAATATACTAAATATTTTTATTCAATCACATTAAAATCTTGTAAAAAAGTGTAATAATTTGTTCAACTGATGTAATGTATTTAATAGAAAATATTATTTTGTAAGATTCATATTATCATCATCAATATATAATGCTATCAAATTATATACCGATTACGACCATTGGAACATATAGCATCAAAGACTAAAGAAATACTACATCTTATAGTTTATGAAAAATAACTTTTAATTTTTCTTTTATCTTATCGAATAACGTAACACAATTGGCTGTTTCTCGAATCTTTAAAAGTTTGATAAGAAACTAAATTAAATATTTTCGTTAGAAGAAGAATACGATAAGCTAACTATTACACACATTAGTGGTATAATAATGCAACAACCAATATAGAAGTAGAGATTAGATATTGAATTTTTTTTTTTTTCCATAATGGTATAATAGCAAACAAATTATGAATCGGAAATTTTTTCGATCCAACACTTGAGACGTGTGATGAGAAAAAAAGTTTGGTAAAAATGGATGGCAATGACCCTGCATTCTTATAGACAAAAAATTGCACTGTAAGGAAAAAAAACAGAGAATTCAAATTTGAATTTTGGGCAGTCAATCAAAAGCTACTTGAAATGTAACAGCTATTGAATGCTTGAATGAATTCAAAACCTCCAAGAAATGAAACAAAGTGAAAGTAGGCGAGGCTCGTGATCCAATATTGCGAGCCGACTTTCACGAGGTTTTCTTGTTTGGATCCCAACTACGGCTCACACCCTTATCAGAGATGAAGCTAAAAAATACGTTTACACCTATCCCACGCATGCCATTTTTTTCATCAAAAACTTGATGTATACATGTTTTAAACTAGATAATGGTGAAATGTGACCGAAGAACCTTTGTAAGACCAACATTTAAAGGCTAAGGGCTCGATAGGTCCAGTTTTCAATTTTGAGTTTTTTTTTTTTCATTTTTCGTTTTTGAAAGTCAGTTTTAAGATTGTTAAAAGCGCGTTTGATTTGTTGGAAAACTATTTCTCAAAACTGAAAACTAAAAACTAAAAAACACATTCAAATTGAAATTTTGCAAAATTGTTTTATGATATTTTATTCTATGAAATTTGATTATTCAGTAAAATAGAACAATTTCATGTTAATATATTATCAAATATTATCTAATTTTGAAGTTGGTGAATCTTATATTATCTTTACTCGCTGTAAAAGTAAAATAGAAACTAATAATAAATTGAGTTGGCAAATTACAGGAAATAAAAATAAAAATTAATGACATGAATTGTGTACTTTAAATATATGTTTTTAGAATTTTTACATATATAATTATTAAGAACTTAAATTATTTTTATTTTTATTTTTTTGCAATTTTTATTTATAATCTGCTTTTGAACTTTATTTTTTCAAAAAAAAAAAATATTTTTTTATTCACTGTTTAGAATTTATATTTTTGTTTTTTTTAGAATTTCTATTTTTTAGGATTTTATTTAAATAAATGTTTATTTGAACGTTTGTTTTTTATGGTTTTTAGTGTTTTATAGGGATGGACCGTTGCTAATACGGGCTCGGCTCATCTTAGATCATGCTCAAAGACTGAGCTTGCCTAGATCCCCCTATTTTCTTTTTGAATTTTAAAAATCCTTATATTTTTGGTTTAGGATCGAAAATTTAACTTTTGAATATGATGAGTTAAAATTGTATACAAACAACTTGTTACATATACATTTTATTTTTTTAAAAAATGAATATTATTAATTTTGGACTTGGTATCGAGTATCTTGCCAATCATTTATACACATTAAACTTTTTAATATATCTTCTTTGAGACGTGATCTGATCTCGAACAAATCAACCATCTATATTAAAAGCAGACTCTGATACTACAGTGCTAATTGGGAGTGTTGTAGATCACATGTTGTGATAGAAACAACGAGATGTTGACATTTGTGATGTCTCCAAAAATCAAGTAGGTTTACTGAAATTGTATTAGATGGTTATATGGTTTTAAACATATGATGAGAAAAATATCTAGTTAATTCTGCAGGTATTCCATTCGTACCTACGTCTGATGTACTTTGATTGTAGGAAGAAGATATACTAGATCTACATTAGGAGCTTGTTTCGGAGGTATTCCATTTGTACCTACAATTGTGTACCATTGAGAAAATAATTCTCAATTTTTTTTACCATTTCGGAGTTAATTCTGCAGGTATTCCATTTGTACCTACAAATAAAAAATATAATTAGTTGAACTTAAATTGAGAAAATATGAAAAAAAAAAAATAGCAATTGTGTAACTTGTGTTTGTATAAGTATATTGATTGAATAATAAGGAATTAAGTTGAGAATTAGCAATTCACATTTTGTAGATAATAAATTGTAGAGAATCGGAGTCAGAAAATGGGTTAAAATGACGGATATTTATAGAGTTTAAAATAAAATGTCAAAAATGACTGTTGGGGACCCCAACGGTCACTTTTCAGTTTTCATTATGAAAATGTTTCGATCACATTTTCAAACGAGCTCGTGGACTCGATCTATGAGTTGGCTCAACCAAGTGATGAGTAAATCCAATTTTTTTTGTGGCTCGGCTTGCACTCGGGCTTAATCCTAGACAAGCCCGAACAATTCATGGACCAATCCCAAATGAGCCAAGCAGGTGAAACAAGTCACTAGACCCAATTGCGAACCTAAGTATTTATAAAATTTTCACCGAAAACATTCAAAAAGTAAAAAATATGTTTTGAATATTATGTTATAATTTAAACTACTCTTTATACTTGCATTTTTAGAAATACTATACCAAACAAATTTTGAGTATTTTACAACTGAAAATTGAAAACAATTAAAATGCACCATAAGTTGTTAAAAATGTCATATTCATTTATTTAAATATAATCTTTTAACATATGGTTGTATTTTACCGGAGAAGGTGTCGAGGGGTTTTCCAAGAAAATACGATGAACAACAATGCTAAGGTCTGTGTTAGGAAGTGGATTTTGACCGATACAATTAAAAAAATTTGCTCACGTCTTGATAAGAAAATTGAACTCGTTACCAATATAATATCAAAAGAGGCTGCAACATATCAGTAGCAAGGATAGTAACTAAGAAAAAACCCGGAATGCAGGGAAAGGTAAAAAAAAATAAAAAAAATCAACTTCTCCAAATAAAAATAATCAATGAAAAAGAGGAAATCTCCTTCGAGGACGAACACGCTCACTGTGGTGGTTCATCATCATGATTTCGAGCATCTTTGTTCTCATCAGCTCCATCCTCCTGTAGCAAATTCAGTATATCAATAAACCAATATCGTAGAGAATATAAGAAAAGAAAAATAGAAAACACATTGGATAGCATGAATGGTATTACGGAAGAAAAAATGATAAATACTTGTTATGCATATATGTACTAGTAGTTTAAGGATCGAAAGATATAACACCGAGTTGTACATAAATCAATACCTGCATATCAGAGGTCCATAGAGTGAGATTATCACGAAGAAGTTGCATAATCAAAGTGCTGTCCTTGTATGACTCCTCGCCTAGTGTATCCAACTCGGCAATTGCTTCATCGAAGGCCTGGCAAAAGCAGAGAAGAAACGAACAAGCTGGACACAACTAAACATAGCAAAACCTTAAAACAACAAATGTGAAACCGTGAATGAAAGCTTCAACGTTGAGACTGAACTTACTTTGAATCTACTTATTTTGTCCAACATGATTTTCAAAGTTAATTATTTTTTAACACGAAAACTTACTTCTGGAAGGTCAGTATAGAAAAGTAACTTTTAAGCCCTGCAAAGAATGCTCTAATTCATGAAGTTCCATACATAGGAAATAGACCTGGAGTTACCTGTTTTGCAAGATTACAAGCGAGATCAGGAGAGTTCAAAATTTCATAGTAAAACACAGAGAAGTTCAGAGCCAGTCCAAGTCGAATTGGGTGTGTTGGGGCGAGTTCTGCATTAGCAATGTCCTGAAAAACATAAGCAAAAACTCGTTTTTAACTTGACAAATAAGAAGATAAGTATTTCTCTAAATAAATTATGTAAAAAAACTCGTTTGCTCATTTATCATACAAAGGATTGCTAGATGCAAATTTTTTAACGCGGGTTGAGTCCTGAAACAACACACTGATTTGGATTGGGCAGGGGAATCTTTAAACAGCAACAACAATGAAAACAAATTTAAACACAAAAATTAAAATAAAGTCGTGTAAGAACGATGGCTGATGAAAATTGAAGCAATTTATAGATTTCTTTTCATCACAACGGCTACTATTACATTTACATAAATAACTTACCACAAAGATAAGCCAAAAGAGACCGTTTCACAATTAAAAAACCCAAACAAATGCGTAGTATTTTAGCCAAACCTAACTGTTGGGTTTTGATATCCAATGAATCCGGGCGATGATGTTAAAATGATATTAGATAATTTATATCGACACTTTAGTGATAGCTCGACCCGGAAACAACTTGGGCCACTAGAAGCAACTTAATTAAGTTAATGTTGCTCGTGGCAAAACACTTTGTGGATGACCCGAGTTGTGGTTATTAGTTGGATGGTGATATGCATAGCCCATTTATTTGTGGTAAGTTGGGACTTTGTGTCGGCCCATTTGAAGTGAAATACCTGGACCAAAATTGATGACCTAGAATGCGGCTTTATATCCATTCCATTTGCTATATCCATATTGTGTGTAAGTTTGAAATAGAGAGAAAAGAGAGGCAGCCTTCCTTTTTGCAATTGAGAGCTTTGCTTGGTGTCTTCCTCCTCCTCTCACTTTATGATATTGCTACTATCACCACCTTGATCCTTTGTGGATTAGACATTTGTGGCAACCAAGTGGGAATAGTTGTGGGACGAGCCTCCTCGGTTGGTGTTCGTTTGTTGGTTTTATTGAGCTCAATTTCAAGATTTCTATGGGATTCCACCAACAAATGGTTGTTGGCAAATTCTTTAAAAAATCTTGAAACCATGCACAGTTAATCAACCAAACGAACACCAACTGAGGGGACTCGACCCACAACTATTCCACACTTGATTGCCACTAGTTTCACACACACAAAGGATGACGTGGTGGTTACATACAAAGGGAGGAAGAAAGCAAAGGGAGCGATGGTTAAATCTCACAAGAACTCATCCAAGTTGGGAGCCTCTCTCTATTTCTCTCCTCAATTGTAAATACTCACACGGCTGAAAAAACAGGTAGGAGAAATGAATATAAACCAAACAATTTAGGTCATCATATTGGGCCACCAATAATCCAAAGCCTAAACCAATAAATGGGCAAACAATCTAATACCACACACTAACCACAACTTGGGTCGTCCTCAAAATGTTGGGTCATGAACAACATTAGCTTAATTAAGTTGCTTCAAGTGGCCCAAATTGTTTTCGAGTTGATCCATCATTAAGATGTCGATATAACTCATCCAACATCATTTTAACATCATCTCCTGAATTTGTTAGGTTTCAAAACCCAACACTAACTTTAATTCTCAAGGCCATAAGCATCTAATTTGAACAAATACATTTTTTTCCTTTTCACCCTGCAGATAAATATGAACAATAAACTAAACTTTCGATCAAATAAATTTGAGGCCGAATCCATGAATCCTTTTTAATCCATCCATTAGATCTACCTTCACAATACCGCATTCAAAAGAAAACATTTGAGGCCTCAAGTAATAGCTAATTGGTAAGTTTCCATTTCACCATTAATAAATGCATTTTGGAATAGTGATATGATGGAGAATGTATGATTAAAAAATAATGAAAAGTTTTGGTTTTGTGTATAATATTGTTTTATTGTAAAATATGTAGTTGGAAATAAGAGAGGGAATGTATTTTGAAAATAACGAGGATGAAACATGGGCATAATATACATAGGAAATCTATAATGTCATTGCAGGGGTTCATGGTTAATTCCAGAAAGTGAATCCATGTCAATATATTTCTCCCCGAACGCTATAGAATAAATCACAAACTCTGAGATGAAACAATACAGGATAAAATGCATATACGCAAAATACGCAAGCATTAATAGAATGGATAAATATAGATTATTGGAAACATAGAGTTAAGTTCATCACACAAATCAACTTCAAGATTCAAATAAACAGAAAGTAAAAATACTTGGAAACATAAAAATCAAACAAACCTGAGCAGCCTTGTAGGCTGTGAGGGTACTCTCAGCAGCCTCTTTTCTTTCAGCACCAGTTTTAAACTCAGCCAAGTACCGATTATAATCCCCCTTCATTTTGAGGTAGAACACCTTCGAATCACCCGAAGATGCGGAGACGATGAGATTCGATTCAAGCAGCTTTAGAATTCCATCGCAAATATTGGAAAGCTCCGATTCAATCTTAGATCTGTAGGCCTTGATTGTGCTGACATGGTGCTCATTCCCCCTCGATTCTTCCTTCTGCTCTATAGACGATATGATCCGCCACGACGCCCTCCGCGCGCCTATCACGTTCTTGTATGCCACTGATAGAAGATTCCTCTCCTCCACAGTCAGCTCCTCGTTCTCCGTCAAAGACTCCGATACTTTTTCCATGAACTCCACCATTTCCTCGTGCCGCTCCGCCTGCTCGGCCAGCTTTGCCATGTATACGTTCTCCTCACGCGCCGCCCCCATAATGGTTGTCGATCCGGATTTCTTGAATAGAAAGGGAATTCAGGAAGGAGGGAGAAAGTGAATGAGATATGTTTTAAGGGAAAAGTGCGAGGAAGCTTTGGTGGTTTTGAAATGTGAGGATTGGAGGGGATTTAGCGTTCGTCTATGGCCTTTAATTCCGGTTAAACTTACTTTCCAGTTAGGCCATGTTTGGGAGGGATTAGATTTTTCTACGGTAAATTAATTCTCATTTTCAACCCCACATTTTTCAATAAACTAATATTTTTCATCACATCAATAATTTTTTCTTCTTTTTCAACCACACATTTCCCATCATATCACTATTCAAAATCAATTATTCCCCCAAAAGTCTCTCTCAAACAAGCTATTAATATTCTTGTAATCGTTCAAATTTAATTTGGGGAATGAAAAAACAAAGAATTAATTATTTAAAAATTTCAAATGCATACTTTACCCACCCTTTTATAACCAAATAAATGAAGAATTTTTTGAAGGTTCAAGGTTTTGAACTTTTAACCTCATTGAAAAAAAATGCTTCCCAAACCACTAGGACATTGAACAATAATATTTGTTTCATTGCAATAACCTATATATATCTTGGCAAATTATATTCAAATTTACAAAGTCCAAGGATTCGAACCTTCAACCTTGAAAAAAAAATTATTGGAATGTTTTCCTTATCACTAGGACATTAAACAATGTTGTTTATTTTATTACAATAACCTATATATATCTTGAAAAATTATAGTCAAATTTTCAATGTCCAGCTATTTGAAACTTCAACCTCTAAGAAAAATGATAGTTCTCTCACCATTAAGACATTAAACAATATTGTTTATTTTAATGCAATAACATATATATAACCATATAGTTCTGAATATTTTAAAAAATTATAGTCAAATATTTCACTTTATTTTATATACGTATTATGTATTGAAAGATTAATTTTAATAAAGATGAATTGAATATCTACAAAATTTATGATTTTGAAATATATAAATAATTAGTGATAATTAACTTAAAATCTTTAATTTTATTTCAAATAATTGTTTTTATATTTTTAAGTAATCATCCACCGGTCCACCTATTAAATTTTTTATTTTTTTTTCCCTTCATCCCCTACGAAAACTTTTTACGACGTGTAAGATATACTTTTTATATACCTTAAAAAATATAATTGCCGTTTTATATATCCTAAAACGATATATATGTCATTTTAATTAAGATTAAAATTGAAACGATATCAATGTCGTCAAAATTGTATTGAACGATAATGACATCATTACGTGTCAAATTCACCAAATAACATAATAATTTTCATATCATTTTAGTACAAATTGACGAGTTCAAAATTGTTTCAATTCAAATCATAACTACAATGACATAAATATCATTTCTTTTCATAGAAAACGATAATTATATCGTACTGTCTAAAACAACGATTCGACGGTCGATTCGACGCAAAAGGACATCCATGTCGTTTTATGTGAACTGAAACGACATAGATGTCGTTTTAGCATAGATTTCAATCGAAACGAGTTCGGCCTCGTTAAATTTGTACTGAAAAGACATGTATGTCGTTATGTTATTTAGTGGGTTTGGTACATAACAATATCATTATCGTTTTATTACAAATTCGACGATATTGATATCGTTTCAAGACAATTATAACTAAAACGACATATATCTCGTTTCAGTTTGTATATAACGATATTTATATCGTTTCTGCCAAAAAAATGACGATTCGACTGGCCACGACCCCCGACATGCATCCGACATATATAGGACGATCGAAATAGGTCATCAAGTGAGCTCATGCCACTCGAATGATTTAGAAGAACGAATGAAGACAATTCCTTTCTATCGTAATAATTCGAAAGTTGTATATAGTCATGAGAATACAAATATTCTCATAATTTCTTTTGAGTGAGATCGAACCCGCTTGATGACCTATTTCGATCGTCCTACATATGTCGGATGATTGTTAAGTGATTGTGGACGGTCGAATCATCATTTTTAACAGAAACGATATAATTATCGTTTTATATAAACTAAAACGATATATATGTCGTTTTAGTTATGATTTAAATTGAAACGATATCAATGTCGTCAAAATTGTACTGAAACAATGTAGAGATCATTATGTATCAGATCCACAAAATAACATAACGATGTCCATATGGTTTCAATACAAATTTAGAGAGTTTGAAACCGTTCTAGTTCAAATAATAAATATAAATATTGTTTCTTTTCATGCAAAACGGTACTTATATCGTTTTGACTAAAAATAATGATTCGATCGTCCACAACCACCCAACATGCCTTCAACATATGTAGGACGATCGAAAAAAATCATCAACTAGGTTGTGTCACTCGAATGACTTTGAAAGGACGAACGAAAATACTTTCTTTCTATTGAAATAGTTCAAAAGTTGTATATAGTCATGAGAATACAAATATTCTCATAGTTTCTTTTGAGTGAGATCGAACCCGCTTGATGACCTATTTCGATCGTCCTACATATATCGGATGCTCGTCGAGTGATAGTGGACGGTTGAATCATCATTTTTAATAGAAACGATATAATTATCGTTTTATATAAACTAAAACGATATATATATCGTTTTAGTTATGATTTAAAGTGAAACGATATCAATGTCGTCAAAAATTGTACTGAAACGATGTGGAGATCGTTATGTATCAAATCCACAAAATAACATAACGATGTCCATATCGTTTCAGTACAAATTTGGAGAGTTTGAAACTGTTCTAGTTCAAATAATAACTACAACGATATAGATATCGTTTCTTTTCATGCAAAACGATAATTATATCGTTTTGGCTAAAAATAATGATTCGATCGTCCATAACCACCCAGGATGCCTTCAATATACGTAGGACGATCGAAAAAAGTCATCAACTAGGTTGTGTCACTCGAATGACTTAGAAAAAACGAACGAAAATACTTTCTTTCTATTGGAATAGTTCGAAAGTTGTATATAGTCATGGGAACACAAATATTCCCATAGTTTCTTTTGAGTGAGATCGAATCCACTTGATGACCTATTTCGATTGTCTTACATATATCGAATGCTTGTCGAGTGATAGTGGACGGTCGAATCATAATTTTTAACAGAACCGATATAATTATCGTTTTATATAAACTAAAACGATATATGTATCGTTTTAGTTATGATTTAAACTGAAACGATATCAATGTCGTCAAAATTGTATTGAAACGACATGGACGTCTTTATGTATTAAAGTCACAAAATAACATAATGACGTCCATATCGTTTTAGTACAATTTTGACGACATTGATATCGGTTCAATTCAAACAATAACTATAACGATATAGATACCGTTTCGTTTCATATAAAACGATAATGATATCGTTCTGGCTAAAAATAACGATTCGACCGTCCACAACCACCCAACATGCATTTAACATACGTAAGACGATCGAAAGAGGTCATTAAGTGGGATGATGCCACTTCAACGACATCAAAGTCGTTTCATATGAGAAGAAACGATGTATATGTTGTTCTAATTACGATGTTGACTGAAACGAGTTCCAACTCGACAAATTTGTATTGGAACAATATGGACGTCGTTACTTTGTTACGAGAATGATTTCAACATCGTTATGAAACTCAGTGAAGCAGTGTGTATTTCGTACGAAAACGATATTAAAGTCGTTTTTTATTACAAGAACGATGTCCATGTCATTACGAATATCAGTGTGTATTTCATACTGAAATGATATCTAAGTCCTTTTTTTTGTTATAGGAACGATTTCAATATCGTTACGAATATTAGCAAAGCAGTGTGTATTTCATACGGAAACGATATTGAAGTCGTTTTTTATTGCAGGAACGATGTCCATATCGTTATGAAAATCAGTGTGTATTTCATACTGAAACGATGTCCAATTCGTTTTTTTTTTTGTTATAGGAACGATTTCAATATCGTTACGAAGATTAGCGAAGCAGAGTGTATTTCATACGGAAACGATATTGAAGTCGTTTTTTATAGCAGGAACGATGTCCATATCAAAAATCAGAGTGTATTTCATATTGAAACGATATCCAAGTCGTGTCTAGATCAAATTTCATACACGTACATGTCTTTTCAAATTTCCTATAAGAACATTTGTGTTGTCATGATTGTATCCAATCTTCGATATTTATTTAGTCATGAGAACACAAATATTCTCATAGTTTCTTTTGAGTGAGACCGAACCCGATTGTTGACCTATTTCGATCATCCTACATATGTCGGATGCTTGCCGAGTGATTATAGACGGTCGAATCATCATTTTTAACAGAAACGATATAATTATCATTTTATATAAATTAAAACGATATATGTATCGTTTTAGTTATGACTTAAACTGAAACGATATTAATGTAGTCAAAATTGTATTGAAACGACATGGACATCGTTATTCAAACCCACGAAATAACATAACAACGTCCATATCGTTTCAGTGCAAATTTGATGAGTTTGAAATCGTTACAGCTCAAATAATAACTACAACGACATAGATATTGTTTCTTTTCATACAAAACGATAATTATATCGTTCTGACTAAAAATAATGACTTTATCTATCCAAATTTGTACTGAATGATGAGGATATCGTTATGTTATTTTGTAAGTTTGATACTTATGATTTGTTGTCCTTTTTCTAAAATTATGTGAGAAAATGTCTCCATTGAATGAAAGATAAAATTTTGGAAGTAGTGTATTTTTCATACTAGAACAACATTAATTTCACTTTATATCACAAGAACGATTTCAATATCGTTATGTAAATTGGTGCAATTTTCGTACTAGAACGACATAAATATCATTTTGTGTTTCAGGAACGATTTCAATGTCGTTATGAAAATATATGCATTTTCATACAAGAATATTTTAGTAATTTACAAATTGTATTTTCTTTTTCTTTGTATCTTGAGGTTATGTAACTAAAAAATTTAGTTGGTGGACTTTTTAAACTAAAACTTGATTTGACTAGACTCATTAAATGAAGTCCCCAATTAATTTTGATTTGCCATTGCCATTATATTTAGCGTAACCATTCAAATTGCTTTTGATTTATCATGATCATCTAACTACATATAATGTTTACTATCCAATATATATATATATATA